AGTGAATTTTGGCACATTTTAGGAAGTAAAGTTAATTGTTTGTGGCAAATTATTAAGAATTTACATAATTCAAAGATCTAAATAAAAAAATAACAGCATCCTGCTACAAGACTTAATATGATAATTCAGGTATCACAGTAAATATATGGTAAATTTGCATCTTTGCTTTTCTCTTTGAAAGTTTGATTCATTTTATTAGAAGTCAGTAGACTCCCTACCAGCACAGCTAAGGCTCATCTTGATCTTATTTATCTGTGCAAAACAAAGAAGAAGAAAAAGAAAGAAAGAAACTTCATCTGTTTCTTGGCCGTGAGACATTGCCAGTAAACCAGTGTGGGTGCGTGGACTATTTCCAGTCTTAAAGCTAAGCTTGTTATCCAGCTGTTGGCATTCGTTTCATGTTTCATTGACAGACATGAGAATGGTATCACCTCCTCTCGCTTTCTTTAGAAAGCCAATAAACTAATAGCATAAAATCTCACACTATTTTCTGTTTCCTTTGTATCTGGTTTGTGTCCAACCTTTCTTAGTGACCACAAACAACGGCTACTTGTGTAGCTTTCTAACAACAGTACTACACATACAGCACACACTCCTTGATTATTAGTTTATTCACCCATTTCTTCACACCTTCATACCTGTTAAAGGCTTCATCCAGATCCTCGCAGTCACAGCAACATCCGTACTGGTAGAGATCGCATTCACAGCAACAAATAGGATCATCTGGCTCCGGCGGCTTTAACTTCTGCCATTGCATAATGGCCTGCTAAAGATGGAGATTTAACAAAAAAAAAAAGTCATTGCATGCCACAGATGACACAGTTACAGTGTGCTGCGTTTGCATGATACATGACTTAAAAAACACAAGCAGGTAATCCTGTCATGATCAATAAAAACTATCCAAACAAAGACCCTTTATTGATTCCTTGTTTCCTTACGTGGCCTTGAAAGACCTCACAATTAACTTGCCGTGCACACAGAAATGCAAACATGCTCACACACAGCTCTCACCCTAGCTTACTGGGGTCTAAGTAGGTTGCTTTTGAGAATTAGCAACAGTGCTGACAAATTTAGGATCCGTTTTGAAGATTATATTTTTAATACAAGAAATCACAAAATGTTTTAATTATTACAAAAAATATGCATAAACAAGTGTAAAAGATAAGTAAATACAAAAAATATAATCAGAATCAGCTTTATTGACCAAATACTCTGGCTATTTCTTTATTCTCAATATACATACCAGAAAAGACACCTGGCAATGTAGAACAACACATATAGCATATTTGTGTTCATACTTGTTGATGTTATTAATACTATAACAGCACATTTATATTTAGATTATATATTAGAGTAACAAATACAGTACTAAACGGATTATAGCAATGCGTACATGACCTGTACTTGTAACTCTAAAAGATCCCTGTTTAAAAAAACATATAATTTCCATAATCAGAGTATTCTCAGTCTTATTATGTCCCCAAGAGCTTCTAATGTAATTTGTTGAAACAAGGCCACGGTGTCCGCAGGGACAAACTATCTGGGCCAGCAAACCGAAGACTTAAACTCTCTGAGATGTCTTTGAGTTATTGTCTGTGTGAGTTATTACATTAGTGTGATTTGTATCTGTGGTTATAGCCTTATTATGTGGCATCTGACACATAGCTACACAGGAATTTCCAGAAAAAAATAATTTTAAGGACAAAAATAGTTATTGCAATCTGAGGTTGTCTGCTAAAGATCATTATTATTCAGAAATAACTTAATTAGCACTATCTAACACTTCTAGGTGTTAACTGTTAATAAGGGAGACTCAGAAAGAAAAGATTTATTGTGTTGACTTACCTTTTGTCTCCAATGCAAAAACACAAAAACAGCAAGCTACGTTGGCTCAAAAAAATCCCCAGTTTCTACACGAGAGCTACGCCATCCTCAGCAAACAATGAGGAGAGAAATGCTTAAGAAGATGACCCCTTGTCACCAGGCTCCTTCTGCAAGTGACTGAAGGGGAAAAAATGAAAAGCGCAGCCTAGTTTCTCATCAGTCATTTGTGATGAAAAAGGAAATTGGCATGTCCCTGCCCCGATGGTGCTGTGGCGACACCGAATCAGTGCAGTGAGATGGTTTTCATTTCTTGCATTCCCATGGTGGAAGCGTCCCAACAGAAGGCAACTTGAAGTCCTGACAAGTAGCTTGATATTGTGTTGCATCTGCCAGCTCACATTTCCAAAGACTATCTTTCTCACATGTCATTAAATAGTTCACAAGTAGTTCTCGGGGATACTCAGCCTGCTTCTGCCTTACAGCTTCCATCAGCTATCATTTTAGATTTTAATACTGGCGTGCTCGGCAAATATAGGCCCTCCCTCATTTGGTTGAGGGAGCCAGAGAGAGCCAGGAGTTTTTCATACCTCTGCCCACAGCTGAGAGGCTGTGTTGAGGTATTCAAAAGCTGCAACAGCAGCCCTGATAATCCACGCTGAGCCGAACGAGGGTGCGTATGAGAAACATGACAGGCACTCAAAGATGAGAGACTGAGCGATGATCCACAGGGCAGCCCCACCCTCTGGCATCATATTTCCTCCCACAAGCAACCTGACCTTGAGGCTCACCCACCGAAAACTCTCGAAGAGTGCATTTGTGCGCAATCAAAGGCGCACGGGAGGCCTCTGTGTTTAGGCTCATAAAGCCCTGCGCTGGACACATTGCACTCTTCGTGCGACGACACTGGATACCGACCCTAACGGTGCGCTCAGTGACCCATGCAGGGAAGTTCTCTTTTCTCACCTGGAGCCAAGGTCCTTATTCACATCAGTTACAACACATGTTCATGCTTATGAACACTTTAGCAGACAGTTTATCCAACTTGAGCTTGATCTGGGTCACTCTGCAGCATAAACCAAGTTTAAAATGAAATGTTGTTGCAGCTCAGTGAAAGAGGAAACACTGGAACCTGAAAGACAGACGTTAGGACCCATAAGATATCTTATCAGAGACAAAATAGCCAGTATGACCTTTACTAAGAACAGTTTAAATAATGAAATAATGGTTATCCTGTTTTCAATGTGGCAAAACAAAAAGTTAGACATGCCTTGAAAGTCCATGCCACTTTCGCTTGCACATAAGCAAATCCATTTACAGATTTGTTAATGTCCTCTTTACACACACTGCCCCATGAATCATTACTAATTCAAGAATAAGAGAAAGAAGGGCAGGTGCATTATGAGCTATAGGCTGGTGTCTGCACTGGATGGACAGAATCAATGCAGAGAAAAGCTGCTGCTCTTTCTCCAGCGGGTTACGCTTCCATTAGTCCTAATGGAGCCCGGAACCTGAGATAGCGACTCTAATCTATTTTAGAGGGTTTAATGCTAGAGAAATACACTGAACCAACAGTGAATGCTGAAGATTGTGCATCAGCAAACTGCTAAGATGCTGATAATGCAGTATGACAAATAAATGTAATAATCAGTCCATCTCCTTGTCGTATATTTTGTATATTTGTGCTCTAATGTACTAAAGCATCACATATCGAGTTAAGATGCTTTCAAAGAGAATAACATGAATTATCTTTATTTGTCAACTGACAAAGAGAAAAGAAGAACCAGTTTTTCGTTTTACTTTGCAGGTTTGCTGCAAACATCATGGAAAATCACTGATGCTTATAGTCAATTCTCGATCCTTTTTAGAGGATAACAGCGATCCCGGCCAATTCTTCTTTGGTAAATCTCTCAAGTTCCTCTAGATTTGATAATCTCCTGTCATGGTCTTCAGTTTACCACAGATTTTCAACAGGATTCCAGTCAGGGCTTTGTGCAGGCCAGTCAGTAATGTTCATTTTGGTCTTTCGAAGGTAGTTCCTCACCAGGAGCGACGTATGTTTTGGGTTGTTGTTGTATAGGAAGACTAAGTGACTCAGTTTTGTGGCATCTGGAACTGGCATATCCTCCATTTCCAGATGCACTGAAGCGTTCCCACAGCATAATACTCCCACCACTGCTTTTCACTGTGGGGATGGCCTTCTTTGTGTTGTATGCTTCTTCCGCCTTTCTAAAAATATAAGCAGCATCTCTGTGGCCAAAGAGCTCTAGTGTCTTCTCATCTGACCAAAGAACTTGCTTCCAGTATAGATAGTCTTTCTCCAGGTTGTTCTTAGCAAACTTCAGTCTGGCTTGAAGGTGTCTCATGTGCAAAAGTTGAGTTTTTCTTGGTCTGTAGTCTTGAAATCCATTCCTGCACACAGCTCTGGTGATTGTCTTCTTTAAGACTACAATTTTCAACTTGGCTCAGTCATTCACATGTTTTTTAAGGTTGTTCTGGGGTCTTTAGACACGTCTCTCACTAGTTTTCGTTCCAGAGTCACACTTGTTCAATACTGTGTGGCTCTCTTTGAATTCCTTGATGATGCTTCTAATTCCAGTTCTTGACACTTGATAACTTTACATATACAACTCCTCGTTGTGAGCATCAACAATTCTTTTTCTCAAGTCTAAACCGATTTCTTTGGTTACTGTTACGATTACGTTTTCTTCAGTGACAGCTCAAACCCTCGCTGAAGTTTTTATACTTTGTGTAAACCGGAAGACAACCCGTTTAAAACTCAGCACATCATTACACAACACTGATTTGTGCTGTGGTGACAAAATGTTCAGCTATAATACTGACCCCAATTAATGCTTTTTAAAGAAAACTAGTATGTTTGCAAATGCTATGTTGAAAATTAATTTGCTTTATTTAAAAAAAAAAAAAAAAACACTGGAGAAAATGTTGACAAAACTTTAAATTTCATACGAGGGCTAATAATTCGCTGCTAATCTGTTCATATGTCTAAATCTATCTGCGCGCCATCTACAGTAACGAGTCCTTTATTGAATTGAGGTGTGCTTATAAGGTTGCACCAATGACCGATTCTTACATCAATTATCAAAATTTGTGTATGAAAGTTTGAAAGATTTCAAACTGCTGGTTTATGTTTTGAAAGAAATATGAGAAATAAAATCTTACTGAAACCATCTACTTTATTTATTTCCCATTTATTTAGGGAGACAATAATGTACCATGGACAAAACAGCAAGACTTCTTTTACAGCACAAACCAACAAACTCATTCATTCACATTTTACACATAATATCAAGTATATATTCCACAGCATCACAATCACACTTTAGAGGTAAGACATGGAAGAACTCCTCACATCCCCTGAATACACTGCCTCTGTCCCTTTATCCACATTCATGTTCCCATTTGATTAAATATCTGCATTGATCACTGTTACATCTGGGGTAAAGAGACATCAACTCTTTTTTCGCAGCTAGTGGAGTGCGAGTGCAGCACTTGATTGGGGCGAATTTATTTAAGTAATATCCTGAGACAGCCTAAGGGGATTTCAGTACTGTTTTTTTTTTATGAGGAAACTTGTCGAAAATCAGCAAAATGAAATACAATTTGTGTACGTCATGGAATGTTTAAGGGGCGTAAACATCAAGGAGAAAAAAAAAAGACTATGTGACTGTGGCAGACATTCAGAACATGGGCCAATCAGTCTTTACTATGTTGCACTGCACTGGGGTCTGGATATCTGAGAGACGGACTGAGAGGTCGGAAACTCATTCCTCCAAGGTTCGGAAAGCATTCTGCATGTCCTCCAACAGTTGGGCGTAGTCTCCTTTGATCTTTGCTTCACCATCCTTGACAGGATCCTGAACGATACATGAAAGGCACAAAATCTTTTAAGGGGGTTGATGATCAATATGGCAAAGAAAAAACAAAACAAAACCAAACATCTCCTGCCACATGAGAAACAAATGTGTACCTTGAACTTCATGGAGCTGATTTTGTACAGGATCTCCCCCATGTTTTCCCTGATGATGGCCCAGGTGATTTTGTTGTCACTCTGAGCTGTGGACTCCACCGCATGTCGGGCCAGGTCGTAAAACGCTATCATGTTTGAGAGGATGCCAACAGTTTTGTAGAAGGGGCAAAACCTAAAAGAATATTTACACACGTTGTTTAATACCTTTTCCTGTTTTCATGGGAATTACAGTAATATCATAAAACACAACATCCAAAATGCACAATTACAAGAGTCAGGAGGTTCTTTTAAGACTTTCAATGTAATCTGTCTAAATGTAAGTGCTTTGTATTCACCTGTCATAGGGAGTATAGCCATTCTGCTGCAGGTAGTCGTCCTTAATGAGCTTAGCAACTTCTAGAGTAATTTTATCAGTCTCAGCGAGTGAAGCCTGGGAACAAAACCAGACGAGTTCTTGTTATATTTTTTTAGTCATTGGCACATATTTTTTTTTAGCATTCTACAGCGCTGACAGAAGAACCTTTTTTTTTTTTTAAACATATAATGTATCCACTAACTTGGCTTAGAAAAAATATACAAGAAAAGAGATTAAGCATTAGATTGCATTTGTTACACTGGGCCTTTTGTATCAACACATGTTCCTTCAGTCTCATGTACAGACTTCACTCTCTTCCATCTCCCACCTTCATCTGGTAAAACTGATCAACAGATCTAAACCTATTTAGAGTCCATAGTAACAGAGCTCATAGAACTTCCAAAGCATTCAAACTGAATAAAAATTGTGATGATTAACATGAATTCATTGGTCATTAAAATGGACATAAAACACTACATGCATTAACGTTAATTTACACCTTTGAACACTACTTAAAAAACTGTCACAGATTAAACACTATCCGTGAAGCTGGATTTTAAAAAATGAGTGTTTGCAGTAGAGCATTTGTGGCGCCATCATGTGGCAGTACAGAATATTACTTCACTAAGTCAATTTGTTGGTTGCTGCCAATAGACTTACATTAGTCTATTAATTTTTGTGGAAAACATAGAAACTAAAATGAAAAGCAGGGTCACTTTTGCACCGCCCTGGCAGTATTCAACAGAGGAGACATGCTCTGCCAGCTGATTATGTCACTCAGTCTGTAAACACAACACAACAATGGATAAACCAGTGCATTACCAAAAGGTGGATTCTGCCTTTTGGTTGCTTTTGGTTTAAAAAAAGAAAGTGATCGCAGCAGCCTGGGGCAACAGAAAAGTGACGCCCTTAAACTGTTTTAGTTTTAGTCTCTGAGTTTTATCCAGTATGTGACTAGTTAGCAAACACAAAATAATCAACTTTGTGACGTCATATTCTGTATCTCACAAGAAAATGCTATAATTACGTTAAAAACTTCAACTTTAAACATTTATTTTTTAAATTCAGCTTCAGAGGCAGAGTTTAATTTGTGACAGTGTCTTTTAGAGTAGGGCTCAATACTGTAACCTAACATGCTTGTGTTTGGACAGTAGGAAAGAGATGGTGTGTCCAGAGAGACTCTGAGCATACAAACTCCACACATAAAGGAGCACAGACTGCACAGTGATGCAGTGGTTAGCACTGTTGCTTTATGGTAATGAAATTCTGGGTTCGATCCATCGAGCCGCTGGGGACAGTTTTAGACCATTTAATATAAACTGACTCACTTTGCCAACAAGCTGCACAATCTCAGCCAGGTCCTCTTCTTCCTGTAGAATCTCTTTTGCTTTTGTGCGAAGAGGAACAAACTCTGGGAAATGTTTGTCATAATATTCATCCAGAGCTCGTGTGTACTTGCTGTAGCTGATGAGCCAGTTTACAGACGGGAAGTGTTTTCTCTGAGCCAGCTTCTTGTCCAGCCCCCAGAACACCTACAAACAACAACAAAAACACAGGACAGTGTAAAAGAGAGACACTTTCACTTTAAGGTGAATTCGGTCAAATGTTTGCATTAAGTTTCTACATTTTACTTACCTGAACGATTCCCAGTGTGGCTGAAGTGACAGGATCGGAGAAGTCTCCACCAGGAGGCGACACACTAAGGAGTTCACAGTATTAAAGGTAAAGTTTACTAATAAAATAATCACCTGCTGGATTCTATTTAAAGGTTTCACATGAAAAACTTTACATTTTCGAACTAATTTTCCCACCGAAGCAATCTCAATATAACGACGTGCAGCAGTCAATGACCATCTACAGAATGTGCACAAACAAACAAAAAGCACAAACTTGCTTATATAAATGTGAACTCACGCTCCTACAATGCTGACGCTGCCTTCTCTCTCTGGATTTCCCAGGCACTTCACACGTCCAGCACGCTCATAGAAGGAAGCCAGTCTGGCGCCTAGGTAAGCCGGATACCCGCTGTCTGCAGCCAGCAACACAAAGGTAAATGCTTCACACGAGTTTACCTACTGTGTGACAGGGTCTTAACAAAATCTGAATGAACTGTACTATGAAGTGAGTTCAACATACCCAGGGTATCGTTCTGTTATCTGGACTCACTTACACTAGCACTGGTGCTCAGGATAAGCAGTCAGACAAAGCTAATTATCATCTTGCTAAGTTAACCCAGTGTTTCCTCTGCACGTTCACAGGAAAAGGGTGGTGTTGGCAACCAATCACAATCTTCTTCTTACTATAACAATCGCAGTGTATGTATGTATGTATATATGCACCCCATCTCTTTCTTAATAGGTGGGCCAATCTGAAGGAAACACGAACATTGCCATACACAATGCGATTATTTACATCTATATGTTTTTAAAATGATTCATTCATTGCAATTCTTCTCATTTTCATATATGCCATTTTAATTTCGACATCCTGATATTATGCGATATTATGTTCTTACGTTTGCCTTTCTTTCAGCTGCAGCTCCAGTGTTGTTTAACATCTGAGAGTAAAGATTAAATAACTCAAACATGGGCTTAGACTACACACAAATTTGATAGAAGGTCTGCAAGTACAGTGTAGCCATCCTGTTTTAGGATTGTATATTAAAACTTCTAGAACAATAAAAGTACTGTACAATTGCAGGCCTGCATAAAAGGGAAAATATGTTTTGTCTAAGAATATATATTTATTACCAATGCTCATCAGGGAAACTGGTAAACATTAGACACTATTGAAAGACTTCAAACCCTCCTATCTCCACACAGATGTCCAAATGATCCTTCAGGAACAGTGACACTATTTTCTGGAGAACTGAATGGTCAGTAGGAGGTGACTTTTGTACTTGCTGATCTCTAATCTAGAACCAGAACAGGTTAAATTCACAACATAAGTTACCTTGACAGTATACCCTGGTAAGAAATAAACCACCTTCATAGTACAGAAACCCCAGAGCTAACCCTGAAGTTACCTAATGAAGTCCTGATTAATAGTACATCCTCACTAGTTAAATGAAAAATAAAGTGCTTTAGAACATGAATCAAAATGGAATTAATAAAATAAACCAAATATATTTTTTAAAAAAGCCCTGAAATAAACGTTACTGAACTACAGTAGGAGGTGACTTTTGTACCTGCTGATCTCTAATCTAGATCAGCAGGTACAAAACAAACAAACATGTTTTGAGATTTTGAGATTTTGACTGTGACCACTGAACTCACCAGCAGGCATTTCAGCCAGTCTTCCAGAGATTTCTCTCAGAGCTTCGGCCCATCGAGACGTCGAATCAGCCATCATGCTCACATTGTAGCCCATATCTCTGAAGTATTCAGACAGTGTGATCCCTGCACAGGCAAAAGTTTGACATTTGATGACACTTTCAAAATACTGTGCAGGAAGAGGGGAAAAAAACAACAAAATACACACTAGCTCACTACTAGCTACTTTCATAAAGTTCTGAATAGGATTTTAGAGTGTTTTAAGTTTTTCAATTACTCTGAATTTTTTTTTTTTTTAAGTATGTAGCAAAAGTTAAGGTTAACAATGACTCAGTTCTCTATAACGTAGGCAGCTTATACCTGTGTAAATGGAAGCCTCTCTAGCAGCCACGGGCATGTTGGAGGTGTTAGCAACCAGCGCTGTTCTCTTCATGATGCTCTCAACTTTGCCGTCAACTTCCATAGTGAGCTAGTGGGAAGAGCAGTGTGAACAACAGCCTTAGCTTAAGCGAGTCAAAAGTGATGCTGTAGTGCGTTTGTTACAGTAGACAGAAAAAAACTTAAATAACAAATCGAAAGCTTTGTAATCTTCAAACCTCGGGGAAATCTCGCAGCACTTCAGACATTTCGTTTCCACGCTCTCCACAGCCGACATAGATGATGACATCACTGTTGGAGTACTTGGACAATGACTGCGAGATCACAGTCTTTCCACATCCAAAGGCTCCTGGTATAGCAGTAGTGCCACCCTGGACACAGCTGTAAAGCACAACAGCCACATGGTCTTACTATGTAATAAATAACTAAACAATCCACCAGTGAAAACCCCACTTTTCATAATATGTGATATGCAGTACTTGCAGTACCACCACCCACTGTAAGGCTTATGGGCTGCCCTAAATTAACACTATTGATAATGACTATAATCCTTTTTTTTATGGTTAAGTAATGGTTAATCCACCAGTATGTGCACGATTTTTAAACAAAATTATATTTTTAATGCTGAAAATAGTTTCAAATTTACTGATTTATAAAAAAGTTTGTTTTAAACATGTTTTTGAAAGATTGCAAAAATATTAGTGTTTTCTTGTTTTTATGACAGGCGGTTTAATAAATCTGTTAAGCGGCGTATATTAAATAAAGATGTCATAATGCACAGCAAATGAATACTCACGGGAAAAGTGCATCCAGAACTCTCTGGCCGGTCAGCAGTGGATGATTAGCTGGTAGTTTTTCTGTGACGGGGCGGATTTGTCGTACTGGCCACACTTGCACCATGCTGAGTTTCTCTTTAATGCCTTCAAACTCAAGCTCCAGAACCACATCCTGAATGCAAGAAAAAAAACCCAAATCAGTTTTGTTTTTATCCAAAATAAAAAGCACTTTGTTTCAAATGCAACACTCACTGAAATGTCGTAGTTTCCAGGTGGAGCCAGGTAGGTTATGGTGCCTCTGCTACGAGGTGGAAGCATTAGCTTGTGTTTGATTAAGGAGTTTTCAAATACCATACCATAGATATCTCCACCAGTTACGTGACTGCCGACCTGGCGAGGGGATCACATTTTTGGTCAGCACACTTAAGAAGAAAAGACTTTGAAGGACTCATCACTGCAACAATGCGCCTTCCTTACCCGAAGGTTCTGCCCGGGCGTAAATTCCCATTTGTTGTCTCTGTTGAGAGCACCAATGTTTACTCCTCTTGGGATGTAAATACTGTTAGTGAGGTCATTGATGTCTTTTAGTGGGCGCTGGATACCGTCAAAGATGGAGCCCATGATACCCGGTCCCAGCTCTACTGACAGGGGCTTTCCAGTTCGCAGGACAGGGTCCCCGACAGACACGCCAGCTGTATGATCAAGTTAGGGTCACCAAACAAACCACGAAATGTCTGAAACATGTGATATCTGCCAAGCAGCGTTTCTTAATGCAATTCAGTCTGATTTGTTTTTGTTTTTTTTACTTTTAATGTTTGACAAAAAAGGATTGAAACACGGCAGCAGAAAGGATACATGTCTCCTCGTAGACCTGGATAGTTGCCATGTCCCCTTCTAAACGGATGATTTCTCCCACCAGCTCACTGTGACCGACTCGAACCAGCTCATACATGGCTGCTCCTGCCATGGCGGTAGCTGTCACCACTGATGGCAATAGCAAGAAAGAAAATTACTGATACTGAAACGATTAAGAAACAATCAAAAGTTTTACTTGTTTATATTTTCAACTGGGACAATTTCAAAGAGATTATTAAGACAAAAATGACAAATGTTATAGCTTGAACATATGTGACAGACCAAAGATATCCTTAAGCAGAAGTCATGCAGTTCAGGATAACTATATACTCTACAGCTATGCAAGAGAGGCATTCTTTAGTGAGATTAGACATGTTTTATACCCAGTTTATACCCTGTTACCCCTGCTTGGTAATAACAGAAAATGTCATGATTTTGTCATCATGTGATCAACTTCCTTAATTTGTCAGCTACTTAGCTAAACATTGCAACCATACTATGTTTAACTACATTCAACCTGATAGATTCTAGCCATTTAAAAGACAAGGAGAATAAACCAGACCTGGTCCAGAAACACCGTGTACATATCCAAACTGGCTTTCTCGGTCCTCATCCTGGATCTTGGGAAGTTTTGAGGTATCCATCTTGATAGTTTATATCTTACTAAATTCCTTGAGGGGCACACAGAGGACAAAATATGCTTTCAAGTCATTTTATAACACTCACACACAGTTTAAGACATCGTGCAATACTTAATCATTAGCCAGTGTAGAGTTATTGTATTACTATTATTTTTCCAGACTTACTTAAGATGCTAGTGTGACAGGGAGAATTATGCGAGCACTGTGACTTGGTGGTTTCTCTTATGAATGAATGACCACATCTAACAGTGTTAGGTCGTGAGCTAACTCTGCTAAAGCTTTATTTTCCTTCCATCAGATACTAAAGATGAGGTAAAATGAGTCAGCGCTGCCATTCCTGGCCAGATGGTAGCTTGTTTGTTCCTCCATACGGAAGGCTGAGAGTAAAGCTGATTTGAGCGTGTGCACGTATAAGTCAGGTGACTAGTTAGCACACACTAGCTATCTTCATCGTCATCGTTCACAGTTTAAGCTAAACAAAGAATTTTACACTCGAAATTTGCCCCATAACTGAAAGGCAAGCTGGTGGGAATGTAAAACCCTACAAAGCCTGTATAAATACTATACCTTATTACAATGGTCAGCTGTCCAGGTTTGTGTCTACTGTAGAAGACTGAGGAGGAGCTTCGTTGTGCTAATCACCTGCCAACCAGCACACTGTCACGGGACGAAAACATCTCCATTGCGGCTCAACTCGCTTCCTGTCTTGCAACGCTGGCAGTTATTACAGAGCCAACATGGCGTCTAACAGTTAACAGTTTCTCAGGTTCCGTTGAGCTACACTTTGGCATCGGGTGACCTCTGCTGGGTGTGAATGAATTTACAGGCCTCGTTGTTTCATTGTTTTCTTTATTTTATTAAATAGTTATATTCCATAATTAATTTAGCATTTTTAATATTATATTATATTTTTTATTGAAACTATGATATAGCCTATAAAATTAAAGCTAAAAATTGGTTGTAGAATTAAAAACGGTTTTGGTTTCTGTAACTTAAGTGGCTGTAAAGTTGATTTGGTTGCAGTTTTGAGAGCACAAACTTTTGAATCACCTCATTGTCCTTCCAGGTACTGTAACTTGAAAAATTTTCACAGTGATTTTTTTTCATTCCTTATTTAAATATCACCTAATTATTGTTCAAAAACTGGTAATTAAATGAAAAAAAATTATTTGAGTGCAAGGCAGTGTTACCAGTTTTGGTGCGTTCAAATTCAAATTTTATTTGTCACATACACAGT